AGAAATATTTTTATAATATATAAGAATCTGTCGCGTCAACCTATATTAAATATTGCAAAAAAATATTTCGTAAATATCTGATTTAAATGTAAAATATATATTTTTAAATAATGTTTCTCAAATATCTGATTTAAATGTCAAAGAAATATTGTTATAATATTCAAGAATCTGTCGCTTCAACCCATATTAAATATTGCAAAAAAATATTACTGCAATATTTGTGTGCTATCTGGGATACATTCTAGGCTTACACACACCTTTACACGTTCTTTATCACCCAGAACTTTTTTTAAGGGTTTTTACCTGAATTAAGGACAACACAGTCATCCTGATTGAACACCGTTGCATGAGCAATTGTGATGTTGGAAGAGCGTGCCACTCCAAAGCCGTCGGTATTGTGGCCTGCATGTCCATAAAGGGCCACATTCTACCCACAAAATTACAATGAGTAACCCTAACTAAAAAAAACAAACTCTTCTTTACCTCATCGCCTTCCGAATTATCTATTAAAATATCAGTGAAAAGGGCATCATGTGAATTATTAATGTAGATGCCATGAATGGGGGCATTCTTGAAGCGAAGCCCTTTAATGATTGATCCATTGCTCACTTCCGCAATGAGGAATTTGGGTTTTTTCGTGCCCCAACTTCCAAGCGTGTCCCAGTACAACTCGCCTTGGCCATTAAGACTGTGCCCTTTATCGAGAAACAATGTAAAACATGATTTTTGACTAATTGAAGTTAGTGAAACTAATGGGTTTTTCGGGTTTTTGGGCCGTCGTTCGGTAGAATTTCTTCCTGAAGTTTCGCAAGCACGGTGGCTTGTATCTTCAGAAGTGGTTTGGAAACGTCAGGAAGAAATTCTACCGAACGACGGCCTAAAAACCCGAAAATCCCATTAGTTTCCAGGAATGGCCTCAACAGTCTATCTCTTTTGATAATTGAAGTTTTACCTGGCGCTCCATTGATGGTAATGGCGTTTCCATACAGCCGCATTAGCGGTCCAGCCCAGTTTAAAAGAGCGAAGTCTACATTGCCGAGAAATGTTACAGTCGCTCCAACCAAAAGGTCCAACACCAACGTTTCACCAGCCGGCACAAAAAGATCTCGAATTGTGATGTTGTGGCAGGATTTGGTGATTCTTGCCAAGTCTTGCAGCTGGCTTACCACACACGTGGAGTCTCTAGTTTCGATAGTCTGCCCAAACTCTATGAGCGTTAATATCAACACTAGCAACTTCATTTTGTCGACGAGGACGGGACATTCTGGTCGCCAGAGTGAACTTGGACATTTATTTCATATTTCGCTGAATGGGCTAATTGGGCGCTTTTGATGCCGAGCGATTTGGTTCGATGATGGACCATAAAAGAGCAAATATGGAAATGAGATTATGCAACCTCTCGGTGCTTAATTGTCCCTATTGTGCGGTTTGACAGAATCTAATTTTGGTTTTAATGCGCGCAATTTAGTGCGGTTTTAAA